ATATATATTTATTTAAATTAAATATAAATTAATTAATATATATTTATTTAAATTAAATATAAATTAATTAATAATTGTTTATTTCAATATATATATATATATATAATATAAAATTACGTATTATATATTATTATATTATAATAAATATACCATTAAATATTATAAATATATAATATTATTTATATATATATAATTATATATTTTTTTATTTATTTTATTTTATTTATTTAATTTTATTTTGTTTTTGTTTTAACTTACCGGATTATCCCAGCCACATTTACAATTTTCTTCCCTGGATTTTGCAACTCCTATTATCGTTATAAATAATAAAATAATTTTACCTATATGTGTACACATAACAAAACATTAATTAGAAAAAGAATAAAAAATTATTTGATTAATATTTAAGGTTTTAAAAAATACCAGAATTCATGACGATAGTGTTGATGGTTGAAATTTAAAAAAAATTGAAAAACAATTTTTAAATGTCATCGATGTAGTCCCATCGAAAAATATGTTGGCAAAATACTTTTCGCCTTGTTTTTATATACCAACTTGAAAACCATAAAATGTTTTACGAAAAGTCATAATTTTTGAAATAAGTACCATTATGGTTAGAATGTTGTATCATAATTACACTCTATCGTACTATTTTCGTGAGTAAATATTAAATTTACACCATTAAAATTTACCATTATAATCGTATTTTCCTGTATACTCAATACACATATTTACAGTTGCATCATTGTATAATAATATTGATAAGAATCATACATTTACACATTGAAATATTTATTTCTATAATTTTATATCGATTTCGTGGTTTTGCTTATCTTTATTTTATTTAAAAAAAAAAATATATATATATATAAATAATTTATTATTATTGCTAATGTAACGTTTGTAATATTGGTAGAAAAAGAAATAAAAAAGACAAATGATATAAATCTTGATAATTTTAAATGAAATTATTGTACAAAATGAAAGGGTAGGAAATAATTTGAAGAAAAATTAAAAAAAGGGGAGAAAAATAATTTCAAAGTTGGCACAATCTTTTATCATTCGTCATGATGACGTATATATGACGTATATATTTCCTTCCAATGACGTAAGAAGGTTTATCCGAAAAGTAGGAAATGACGTTTATAACAGAATACAGTTATACAACACTTCTAATGATAATATTTTATACTAATCGTAATTATATTTACAAGTATGTAATACTTGACAAGATTTAACATTAGTCTACAAAAAATTTGAATAAATTAATAAAAATTCTGATAAAGATAATATAAAAGATTTAAAATTATCAATTGATTTAATATTAAATTTATTATTAACTAATTAACTTTATAGATTATTTAGCAATAACAAAAATATATATATATACCTACATAACACGATAAGTTTTGAGCTCTTTCAGCGAAAGTTTCGTAAAATATTTCCAAAAAATCTTTCAGAAACCTTGCAGGCATCATTCGAAAATATTTTGAAGAAGATTCATAAAAGATTTTACAAAAATATTTTAAAAACATTTCTAAAATATTTTACTGATAGAGTAATCTTTTACAAGTTTCTTAACGCGGACATTTTCACCTTGTAGAAAGATTTTTTAGTAACCTTTTTGAAAGGTTTAAAGCTTTTCAAGAAATGTTTTAAAAAGTTTTTAGAAAGTTTTTATGTTATGTGGGTAAATACATATATATATATGTTAATTATAAAAATTTCCGAAAAGTTTGCTCGTTCGTGGGACTCCTTTACAAGGCTCTTTTACGAGGCTCGTTCAAGATGCTCGTTCACGAGGCTCTTTTACTTACTTTTCAGAAATACCCTACGAACTTTTCGGAAATATCCTACGAATTTTTCGGAAATACCCTAAGAACTTCTCGGAAATAGCCTAAGAACTTTTCTGAAATACCCTACGAACTTTTCGTAAATATCCTACGAACTTTTCGGAAATACCCTAAGAACTTCTCGGAAATAGCCTACGAACTTTTCTGAAATACCCTACGAACTTTCCGGAAATACCCTAAGAACATTTCTGAAATACCCTACGAACTTTTCTAAAATACCCTACGAGCTTTTCGGAAATACCCTAAGAACTTCTCGGAAATAGCCTAAGAACTTTTCGGAAATACCCTAAGAACTTTTCTGAAATACCCTAAGAACTTTTCTGAAATACCCTACGAACTTTTCTGAAATACCCTACGAACTTTTCGCAAATATCCTTCGAACTTTTCGTAAATACCCTACGAACTTTTCGGAAATACCCTACGAGCTTTTCTGAAATACCCTACGAACTTTTCGTAAATATCCTACGAACTTTTCGGAAATACCCTAAGAACTTTTCGGAATTACCCTAAGTACTTTTCGGAAATATCCTACGAACTTTTCTGAAATACCCTACGAACTTTTCGTAAATATCCTTCGAACTTTTCGTAAATATCCTACGAACTTTTCGGAAATACCCTAAGAACTTTTCGGAATTACCCTAAGTACTTTTCGGAAATACCCTAAGAACTTTTCTGAAATACCCTAAGAACTTTTCTGAAATACCCTACGAACTTTTCTGAAATACCCTACGAACTTTTCTGAAATACCCTACGAACTTTTCGCAAATATCCTTCGAACTTTTCGTAAATACCCTACGAACTTTTCGAAAATACCGAAATTTTTTCTTTCATGTAGAATCACCGTCTTTTCGCTTTTACTATCAGTTACAGATCACCCTGTATGTACATATATGATACCAATTAGAAATGATTTTATTACAATTTTTGCAAATTTCATTATAAAAATGTTGATAAACAAATAAAAAAAAATATTCTGATGAAGGGAAATATATAAACAAATAAAAATCATAGATAGATTAGTTTAAATATTGAATTTATTATTATATAATTGACTATATAGATAATACAGGTCATTCATCCTAATCTTTGGTTCCCACTTAGAAAAAAGAAAATACTTCATACAAATGTTTTAATCAATTAACTTTATACATATTATAATTATTATTTACAAAATAATTTAAATATTAATTAAATGATGTTTAATTATTAATTCTTTGTCATATAGAATTTCTTCCATAGGGATTCCCTTTTTTTTTTTATTTCTGCAGAACCTTAAACGCATGATCGAGAATATCGAGCGTTTAGCAGATCAGGGTCATGACCTCGATCCTTAACAATGAATAGCCTAATACCCACTTTTTTTTTTACATATTTTTCTTACTTATATTTATTTAAATAATAATTTAATAAGAAAATATATAGTCTCATTTTTTTTTTGGTTTTTTGGTATTTGTCTTTGTCTTTATCTTTGTCATATGATAATCATGCAGTTCGTTTGTTATTTAATACACTTTGCAGTATGTTTCACCTGTGAACACAAAAATAATCAAAAATTTAATGAAACATTTGTTTAAAATATATTAAAGAATAATGATGAGAAATTTTTTGTTGTTAGGGATACTTTACTTTTATTTTAAATTAAGTATTTTTTTGTTAGTGTATACTTTCAAAGATACTTTTATTCGAAATTATTTAATTAAGGAATGATATTATTTTTTCTTTAAAAAATATTAAAGTTTAATGGTAACAATTTTTTTTTTTTTATTAGAGATACTTTATTTTATTTTAAATTAAATTTTTGTGCTAGTTTATACTTTACTTTCATTTTAAAATTAAATATTTTTGTTTAAGTGTATACTTTCAAAGATACTTTTATTTAAAATTATTTAATTAAAGAATGATATTGTTTTTTAATTTTATTTTATTATTATATCAAAAATTCAATTAGGATTACCTGAGTGACAAAATTTAATTATTTCAAATAATTAAAATTTGTTAATGTGAATTAAAAATTGGTACATAGAAAAAAAAAAAAAAAGAAAAGTAGTCAAACTATTGGAAATGATTTTGTTGAAATATAAATAATTTTAATAATAATAATAATAATATAAAATCTTACCAGGTGTCGATTTAAGAATAAAATCCATAAAACTGGTAATTCTCATAGCAACACCAGGATTTTCATCTGCACACGTTTTACCATAACTAATAACCCCAAGTAAAGTTAAACGATTGGTACTTGGATTATGCCATAATTCAGGACCACCACTATCAAACTATACAAACAAATAAACAAATAAAAAAACAGAAATGATTTATCATTTAATTGAAATTAATCCTTATCTATCGATCATTACATTTTTATATTAATGATTTTCATTAATTGTAAATAATAAATTATTTGTTATTTTGTATGTCACTTGATACGTGATCTAACGATCGATAAGGATTTTAATTAATAAATCAATGATTTATAAATTACCTGACAAGCATCTTTTCCTTTATCGTAGGTACAAATTTGTTTATCACTTATGTTAGAATAATAATTAGAACATTTATGATTTGAAATAACATGTAAATTAACTTTCATCAATACGTCCGATTTTGCACCACTAAAACTAAGTAAACCCCAACCTATTGAAAATAATATTATAATTTTAAATGATAGTTGAATGAAATAGAAAAAAATATTTCAATTTCTTTTGTTTTACTTAAAAGACAAACCTAAGGCTGTGACAACTTCTCCCACAAAACTTCGTCGAGTGTAATAAAATGGTAAACAAGCAGGACCAACTTTCATTGAATAATCGAATCGAGTTTTTGTTTTGACGACAGCAACATCATTCATACGTCGTTTATAATTAGGATGAATGATTACTTCACTGACCAGATGAATTTTCGTCACGTTAGTATCGGCACCTAATTTTGTTTATATTTCAAAATAATAAAATGTCAAATAAAATGATTGAAAAATGATTTTCAATCATTAAATGTTTATTTGTTAAATGAAAATTAGAAAAAAAAATATTGGACCTGTTGTTACGTCATGTTCACCAACGATGACACCAAAGTCTCCATAATTGTTGATAAAATCTAAAACACAATGGGCTGCCGTTATTACGTGTTGCGGTGTTATTATAGTTGCACCACAAAGAAGAATGCGTTTTCTAAAATCAACTAAACCGGCCATCATTGGATATTCGTTAACACCAGTTTCAACACCTCCCACTATTCTTGACTGTAAATTTTACATCACATTAATTGGTGCTTTTGTTATATTACAATATATATTCTTAACGATATCATTATTTATAATATAAATATTTAAATTTTAATAATATAAAATAATTAATAATATATAATAATAAAAAAATAAATTTATTATTATATTATATAAATTATTTTTATTATTATAATAAAAAATATTGTTATATTATATATATATATATATATATAATAATATTATATATTAAATATCAAAATTAATATTGTATTAATATTTGTATTTAAATAATTATATTTTAAAATTACAATGTTAAATTAAAATATATTTTAAATAATATCATTATTAATTATTATATTTAATATATAAAATATTATTATATTATATAATATTAATATATTAAATGTAAAAATTATTATTGAATTAATTTATATTTAATAAATAAAAAATAACAATATTTAATATAAATATTATTATATATAAAAATAATAATCAAATAAATAGTTAATATTAAAAATATTACAAACCGGATTTTTCCAACCACATTTACATTCCTCTTCGGTTGCCCTTAATGTACATTGAAATTTACCACCATAAGTGTTGTATCTAGAATGAAATATTATTTCCATACGAGTTCCAATGGATTGTATTGAGAAAGAATTCAATCCGCAAAATTTATATTCGATGTCATCGCTTATTTTCACTTTTAAATAATCCATGGTACAATTTGGACTCTGTTTACAAAAATAGAGGATGTATGAAAGAGGATTTCAATTATTCATTTTATTTTATAATCAAATTCTATTCTATCATAGTTATGTAATAATAAAAAAAAAAATAGTAAAATAAAATATTTAGAAGATTATTTGATTTTGATTTTTACCGGTGGTACATCGAAAAATGAACAATTCAATTGTACACGTGTATTACTGTTAGCTTCCCATCGGCAATTATGTTCTCCAGTATAATAATCTGGAAAATCTGGATTATATACGTAATAATCAACACCTTGTTGTAAATATTGCGAATAATCGCATTCTTTTTCGATGCTTTCCTCCGAATGTACTACCCCAAGTAGCATGCAAATAAATGGTACATATTTTCCTGCAAAAATAATAATATTAATTATATTTTCATTTAAGAAACAAAAAAGACAAAACAATGAAATTTGATTAAAAAAATTTTAATTTAAACAATTATTTATAAATGTTATTTACAAAAATATTTACATACAAAAAAGTTATATAAAAAATATTATTTAATTTCATTCCTGCAAAATAAAATACCTTAAATTATATTTTTAAATGAAAATCTAAGGGATAGCAAGTAGAATGTGATATACCTAATTTCATGGTGGTTGTTAATTCCCAGCAATTGAATTAAAAAAAAAAATAAATAAAAAATAAAAATTTAATAAAACTATAAAAAGAAACCCCACAAGAAAATTCGTATCAATGAAGAAGACACTTAAAAAAAAAAAAAATGTTATCTGTAATGTTCCTTCCCGTTTCACGGTTTTTTATATTCTGAGTTTGAAATAAACGTAACACGAACAAAAAAATGATAATTTTCGCAGTAAATATAATACTATCGCTGTTACCTTCGTTATCACACTTACAAACTTACACAAGTTAAAAAACGTAGGATTTACAGCAGTAGGGGCAAATATCATAGCACACAGTTGTGTATATTTACTAATTTCTGTTTATTTTTTTTTTTTTTTTCGTAAATACAGATACACATACTCATACTACAAAACTCACCCACACTTATCCAGTTATATACATTTTTATAACTCGTATTTTAATATTTTCTTTTTCATTGAATATTTTCATTTTAATAACACGCCCATATTGATTTTATATCTTACATTGAAATTTATTTCCTTTCTTTTGCATGAAGACAATTTGATTTTTTTTTTTTATCGATTTTAATATCTTATCTTTTTGTTTCTCTTTTTTTTTTTTTTCTTTGAATGAGTGAATTTATTTTTGTTGTTATTATTATTTTTAATTGAAAATATGTATTAACATGTGTCAATGTTTTTATAAATTTCTTTTATTGAAGATTTTTAAAATAATTAAATGTGTAATATGACATATATATATAATTATTTGTTAAATATATATAATATGATTTAATTTATGTAATATTAATAAATATAATATAATTTAATGTGTATAACATGTGTAATATAATATATATCATATTAATAATTAAATATATATATATACAATTAAGCTAGTTATATATATATAATTTATAATAATAATAATAATAATAATAATAATAATATATATTATTATATAACATGATTTACATATACATTTACATTTACATATATTACATATATATAATATGATTTAATTTATATAATATTAATAAATACAATATAATTTAATTTGTATAACATTATTAAATATAATATAATTTATAATAATATATGTAATATAATTAAATTTGTACAATATTAATAAATATAATATAATTTATATTAATATATAAGTTTGTAAGATAATAGTTGAATTGAAAATTTAAAAAAACATTTGAAATGTGGTTAGTAATAAAACTTGGTACTGTATCCTTGAACTAATTAAATCCCTCAGACACAATTTATATTCATTCTTTTGTAAATAGGATTAAAACGTGCTCAATGTTTTGTAATTTCTATTGAATTTGATGATGATAATTCAAATCTAAAAAGTATATACATAAATCAACTATAAGCTTCAAGGGATTACATTGATAAATGATAAGATTCTTTTTTATTAACATATTTTTTATTTTTATATTCATTCATCTATTAATATTTAATTATTAAGTACATTTTTTTAGAAAAACATTAAACTTAAGGACAAAATTATTAAAAATTCGATACGCAATTTTTATTAGGAATAAAACAAGAAAATGTAGTTTATTTAATTGTTATCATTATCGATTTTTAACAACTTAATTGTTTTTTTATTTATCTCGTTGTTCCTTTGTTGTTGTTTTCTTTTTTTTTTTTTTTGTACAAAAATAATAATTGATAAGAACTGAAATTACAAGCTAAATTATTTCCTCGTTCGATTATAACAATTATTTTGTATAAGATAAACATTTTGTCGAGGGTCAAATAATTATATACAAACTTATGTTTGAAGTAAATTAATTTTCATTTAATTATAAAATTATTCAATTGTTAACAAATAAAACATGCGATTAATTTAATTTTTATTTTTTATCGTTCGAGAAAAATCGAACGTTGAAAGTTCTTCTCAGTGTTTTATAATTTTCAAAGTTTTTTGTATTTCAAAACATGTTTCAAATATATTTTATATATAATTTTAAAATGCGTTAAAAATATATTTAATATATAATTTTAAAATGTGTTTAAATATTTGACAAAAACAATGATAAATTTTTTTTGGCCATAATGTTATTGAAAAATATCGATAATTTGTTGTTTACTATTTCCAAGACGTATTATTAAACTAAAAATTGAAGATACGAAAAATTTTAATTCTTCTTACTTGCATTTTTAAACTTTTTCATAACAACTTAGTTAACAAAAAACATTTCCGTTATTTATTGGTAATATTTTTAACTTATAATGAATTTTATTATTATTTCTTTTATCCTTATCCTTTTTTGTAACATATTTTATTACATAGAAGATATTAAAATACAATAATTGAATTGAATTACGCGCTCTTATCGAAAGTCCTGCCATACTTCGATATCTACTACGTTTATCAGCGATATCGATAATAATTTATTTCATATCGATATTTGTTGAATTCTGACATCATAAATGTTATGTAAATAATTAACAATATTTTTAGATTAAATTAAGTTGGTATAAAATATTAATTAAAAAATTATTTGTTAATTTATTTAAAATATCTTTGATTTCTCTAGTGGATAGTGGCTCCCTCTAAGAAGATATGTCAATTTTTAACTGTCATATCGTAGTAACCCTAAATTCTGCATTTATCAACGTTGCCATGGTATTTCCTTATAATAATAAACCTAAAACCTGGATTTGTCTTCAAATGGGAGTAATGCAAGGTTTGATTAAAGTATTTTGGATATCTTGGAATATAACATGAATAAATTCATTCATAAACTTATTTGGAAATTGTCTAACAATATTATTCAGCATTATTCTATAAAACACATAGATAATGTCTTATTTTTGTGGGACTACTTTAATTGATGATAAAGAAGACACCATGGAAAAGCATGGTGTTGTTAAGGTAATAAATTATATTTACAATTTATATAACCTATCATGTGTACATATTCAATTTTATTATACAATTGTAATAAGCGTTGCATGTTCATTGATAAAAAAAAAAAAAAAAATTACAAAATAGTTCATAGAAAAAAATACTAATTTAATTATTATTATAATAGCACAGTAAACAAAAGGGAATAAACACAGATGAAATTGAACCCGTTCATGGTTTAACCTATTGTCGTAGAAAAGCTAATAAAACACGCCATTATAACAAAGCGAAACTTAAATCAGATGATTTATCATTCAACGATAAAAGTGATGATAGAATAAGTTCGCCAAAGAATAAAAGTAGACGTCATTTGCGTAAAGAAATTGAAAGACTTATGGAAGAGAATCATACGTTGATGACCAAGTTAGAAGATTTCAATGCAGTGTCAGGTAATTTTATAAATAATTGCTAAACCTTAATCATTACAATTTGTATAATTCCCAAATAATTTTGATTATTCAGATAATCGTGAGGAACAAAAGGATAAAGATAAATTAATATTTAAAATACGAGATAAGTATCACAAGTTAGCTGAGGAGTATGAACGAGTTCAACAAGAATGTGAAGAATTAAATGTCCTATTAAAACAAAAAGAAACTGAGTATAGACAATTACACTTGCATCATGAAGAATCAACTCATATTTTTCAACGATTGGAAGAAACTAAGAATAGTTTGTTAAATCTTAATCAAAAATTGAAATCCGAGAATGTTCAATTAAATGAGGATACTATGCTTCTTAAAAAAGTTATTTATCAATTGAATGCAGAATTGGAAAGGTATCAAGATAAAATTAGATCGTGTGGTCAAGTTATACCTTTGCAATTTAATACTCATGCAATTAATGAAGAAGAATTAGTTAGAGAAAATAAAAAGATATTTGAATCTTGGGGCAATGTAAACATGCATGCTTTAGGTCCACTATTGGATGCTTATCAAGAAAATTTAATTGAAAAGAAAGAATTGATAAGCAAATACGAACAAGAATTAAATGATTTTACTGGTAGATGTAAAGAAATTATATCGGAGAATGAATTTTTACATAAGGAACTGGAAAATTTCAAATCAAAGGTATTGTAAAAACAATAAGATTTGTATTATTCATTATTGTTTATTTTAATAAAAACTGTATAGTGTAATAGGTACGTGGAAGAGATCAAAGAAATTTCTAACGATGCTGCATTGGTCAAGGAACAAAATGATACGTTGATGCAACAAGTTTGCAATCATAAACAAAAATTTGAAGAATTTCAATCGTTGTACGAAAGGAAGATAGAATCTTTGACTCAAGAAAACAAAACCTTGCATAAAGAAGTTGTAACTTTGAAAACAGAATTAAGTAATCTTCAAGGAAAATATAAAATAATGAACGAAGGTTATGAGATGTTAAAAAATAACAGCGACAAAACTATGCCGGTGCATGTACACATTGCTGCAGTGGATGAATGTAAAAGATTGTTCGAAGAATTGAAATCACAGTACGAATCAGAAAAGAAGAAACTTTCTAGTCGTATAAAACAATTGGAGGAATCACAACCGAATAATGAACAACAATTAATAACAGTAACTGCGGAAAGAAATCATTTAAAAAATCTAACGAAAACGTTGGAACGTAATTTAAAGTAATTCAAACAAATTTAAATAGTATGAAGCATAAGTTTCAATATTTATTGAAATAATATTTATTTTTTCAGACGTACTCAGCATAAATTAACAAACGTACAGAATATTGTATATTCTGTACAAATATCACGCGATTCTTATAAAAGACAATTAAATAAAACAACTGTATATTGTGAAAAATTGGTAACGGAATATGAAAGGGTAACATCGGAGAAAGAAAAATTAAAAACATTGTTGCACGAAAGGGAAAAAGAAAATGCTGATATTCAATATATCGGTGACAGCATAGCACACCGAGTTGGAAATTTAAAAAACCAAGTAAACGTAAGTAAACATGACAGTGTCATTGTTAAATAAATCATTACAAACATTGTAAATATGACATAGGCTGTGCAAAAAGATGCGAAGGATCAATTAGCATTGGTGGAAAAGCATATAAGGATACATAAAGTAGGAACACATCAATTAAAATCAGAATACCGTCAAGAGGTGCAACGTTTGAAACGTTTGCTTAAACAGAAGGATGACGTTATAGCTCAACTAAGAAATAAGAAAGAAAAACAAGTATCTCAAGATAATATTGAACTGGTTTGACCAGAAGAAGCAATGATAAAATGATTTAATTATCAATCTAATAGTTGGAAAGCTTAGGCCTAATGATTTACAACGATCAATCAGATCGTATTGGTAATTTCAACAATTTGTTAATTTATCTTTGAATCATAGGATTATGATAAACCATTATCAATGACATAGATAAACGTAACTAGCCAATTATTATCTTCCAATAAACGTAATTACAGTAGTGATGGTGTTATTGGTGATGGTCGCAAAGTATAGGCTTTGTAACCGGTTAATATTCATTCATTAAATAAAACTGAAATCTCATAAACGATGGCGTATAATTCTGGTTTACTTTTACATAAGAGTCAAAAGCCACTGGCAATCAATTTTAATCTTCCTTGTTAATAGAATATCATGTCCAGAATTAATGTCACACGTTGAAAGAAAGAGTGAGAGAGATGAAAATACCCTGAGGGGTTCAAAACACGTAGACAGGAAATATTGAGATTTGTACCGACGACATCACCTTTATTTAGTGGTGACATCAACCAAGACAAGTGGTCTCGAAGGTTACCAATTACTTTAGAGGGAGCCAATGCTTGTCATTTTTTTCTTTGTAATAAGCCGATAGCGTTTATTCTTAATAGAAATGATCTCACGTGTGTGTGTGTGTGTCTCTCTCTTTCTCTCTCTTTCTCTCTCTCTTTTATATTTTTATGCAAAATGTTTTATATCTATGTTCATTCGTAATAGATCTGTCTCACATTATAAATTATATCTCGGTGTAATACTTGATTATTATCTTGGACTATCGACCCCGTTACATACAAGGAGAGAAAAACACAGATTCTCATTTGAATAAGTCAAGTTTGATTTATGCTAAAAGAATATCTTAAGTATTTACATTAGTCATCTTTAATTTTTTTAAATCAAGAAACATACACAATTCTATTCGATATTTTTAAAAGATAGATTAATTTGAAATTAATATGAGAGTTATTAATTTAGTATCTTTTGTGTGATTATTTCAAGGAAAGATAATACTAGGTCGTGGAAAGTATGTTTTTTGCTATGAATCCTGATTATTATTCTTCTTCTTCTTCTTCTTTAAGAATGAAAGATAGAAAAAGAGATAGAATTATAAAAAAAGAAGTTGTGAGACAAAGAATATGAAGACAAAACAGATGTCCTAAATTCTAATATTACAAACCATCTCTCATTGATGTCTTCTTCCTTGTTTATATGTATATGAAAGGTACATTTACCTTAATGAACTACGTACATTTCTAACACATACATTCGTTGATTATACTTTTCTCTTATTATACATGCAGTTCGTATTTAAAAAAAGTACTCTCATCGTTTACGTAAAACCATATTTTCTCATTCTTATAATTATTTCTTTTTGTTTTTTCTTTTTCTTTATATTTTTAACATGTAACGTGTAAGCTTAAAGTCAAAAGAAACTAGTCGTGAATGGAATGATTTCGAAATAACGTTTGAAGACTAGAATAATACTTAAGGTGTATCACCTTACCACGTTACATCGCTAAATTCCAGTATGATACGTTTTAAACCGGTCCCTAGGAGACTAGAATGTGAAACTATTGACAATCCTAAGGAAGATAGAATCTTATACATGAGAAAGTGTATTAAAAAAACTACTCGATATCGACTTTTTCATCATCATCCTCCTTCTACTTCTCTCTTTCTCTCTTTCCACGAACGATCCTGTTTTATTGATTTCAAACAAGAAGAGGTAAACAATAAATAACACATTTTATTTTTCTTGGAAATTTTTATTAATAATTAAAGTAAGAATCAAATTTAATAGAACAGATATCACTTTTATAATAAATAAAATGAATAGTTTATGTAAATTTTAATTTAAAATTTTAATTAAAATTTTTGATAATATAATTATTAAATAAATATTTAATTAGATCATTGATAATTAAATAAATTAATTTATTATTTTTTAAATGTTTATCATTAATAGTAATAATAAATTTAATATAGTAGGAGAAGTACTTTTTTTTAATTGACAAATAAATAAAAATATTATAAATTAAAATATATAAGATAAAATTTAGATTTTTTCTAGACAAAATAAAAATAACTGGTCATTGTATAAAGAGATTATTTATAATTTATTCCGACGAAATATAGGACCAGGAAGTATAAAATATATTAGAATAATAATAGAAAGAAAGGAATATATATGTAATATAGGGTAGAGAGAGTGGGAGAGTAGAGTAGTGGGGATGAGTTGGTCGGAGTAAAGTAGGTTCGGGCGTGTTCGTTCAGTCTCGTAGGTTTCCGCGTAAAGGCAAAATGTCGTCTGCTAGGCGCGTCGTCTGGCACCGGGTCGCATTCGTGACGCAAAGATCGACGTGATAAAGTGATAAGAAAATTATAAGTTTGGTGTATATTAGTGCCGCGTGGTTAGTCATTAATAATTCAACTAAATTTTCTATTCTGTTTTATCCATTAAAGATATTTTAATTAATACAAAGTATATCCACACATACACATATACATACATCGTACCATATACACATATACATATATACTATATGTGTATACGTGTATATGTTATGTCGTATGTCGAGTAAGTGAGAAGAAAAAAAAATCATAGTAAATAAAATCGGTTGTGAGTTTTCAGTGAAGGATTAAATTCAACGTTATACTAAATGGATTATTAAAATAAATTCTAGGGAAGATAATTTAGTGTGTGTACGACCAATGATGCAAGTGCAAGAAGAAACGCGACATTGATTTCTTTACCATCGATATAACCACAAAACAACAACACAACAACAACAACTGACCAACGGGGTAAACAAGAAAGAAAAAGAAGAAAGTGCAGCATAAAAAAAGAAGAAGTGAGGGAGAAATAAATTAACAACAAAGGTGAATATAATAAAGGGGGAATTGTTTTTAACGAAATTCCATGCATTACTACGTAGATAAGACAACCTCTTTATCATCGTCATCATCATCATCATCATCATCATTGTTGTTGTCTTCGTCTTCGTCTTCGTTGTTATTTCGCGGCACGAGGCATCAAACTACTGCGAGATGCGCGAGGAATAACGGCGCACCTTTTCGACCACCTTGCAAAAGTTCGAACGTAAGTTTTTTATTTTCATTTTTAAATAATATTATTAATAATTTCTATAAAGAAAGGACAAAAATAATAGATAAAGAGAGTGTATTAGAAATAGTATTAGAATTACTTAATTAAAATCTATTTTGATGTGTGTGAGTGAATGGAGGGTGAAGGAGTAGGAGGGGAGGTGGTGGAGGGGGCGACACCTGTCTTTCTGTGTCTGTTCGATCGAACATGCCGGCCAATTTCTATCTCTCTCTCTCTCTCTCTCTGTCTCTTTCTATCTTTCTTTTTTTTCTAACCTATATATCAAACTTTTTAACATTAATTTATTGTTTAATTATTTTTAATGTATTTATTATTTATTAGAATTTAATTAAGTATTTTTGTGTGTTTTGTTGTAAGTGTAGTGTATCAGTAAAATGAAATTAGTGAAAATTAGCGATTTTTAGTTGCAAGTAGAGGCGCTGCAATCGCAAAGAACGCAACCATGTTTTGCATCATATATATATATATATAATGTGTGTTTGTGTGTGTATATTACTATATTACTACATAAACGAATATTTCCTTCGTCCTTTTCTCTTCTCTTATACACATACATATATATAAACACACACACATATACGAGTCCCGGCCAATGCCTTTTCCTTCGAGGGTGAGAAGCATCCTTCCCTTTCTCCCCTCTCTCTCTCTCTCTCTCTCTTTCTCTTTGTAGAAGATTCACTCAAGCAAAGATTATTTCCCGGTTAGAAACATTCCTCGTTTAGAAACATTTCTGCTTTGCTTACTCTTTCTTTTCTTTTTTTTTTTCTTTTTTTTTACTAAATAGTTTAACGTTTCCTAATTAAGGTTATTTTTTATGACAACCACATTTTTATTTCTTTAGATAAAAATTAGATATCAGGACTTTTATAGATAATTATTATGCATGTATTATATTTGAGATAAATTTGATATCTGCTTGATATTTTCTATATATTCCTGTTCTTTTTTTCTTTTTTAGATTTTAACCTGAATTAGAAATGTGCATCTCGTGCATGTAAGCTTTTCCTATGTAGGACACACTCGACCCTATTTTTTAACAGTTTCAACGAGAACCACTTATATGGGAAGAACAATGTACAAACCATATTTGTATCCAGAAATTTTTCAAAACAAAAAAATGAATAATACATTTTATTTTGTATTCCTTTGCAACATTGCAATAAGACACGTGTCATATTTGTTTAATAATAGTAATAAGTTTCATCATTTTGTTAGGAAACTTATATATCTGTTAGATACGTTTAATTATGGTTTAATTATGACTCAATTAATTCAATCTTTCTTACATCTTAATATGTGCAATTAAATATCACCATTAGTTGCTTAATTATAATCAATTTTAATAATTATTATTAGTTGTAATCAATGCTTTTAAATTTGTACGATTAATTTTTGATTGCATGTTTTGCTTTGTTTTTGTTTTGTTTTGTTTCTTAGATTTAGAATTAATTATAAATGTATTTGTAGTATTGCGTTTAATAATTTTATAGATTATATTACGAATTGAAAAATGAGATAAAATCATGTGTGTATACGTGTATCTATTTATTTTTCTTGTAAAGAGGTTTATTACTGTGGGTCAAGCTGCCAGAATGCATCGAATTGGCCCTGTTCTACTTGTGTTTGCTATCTGTCCTCAACTAATCTCTCCAGTTTCTATTCTCTTACATAACTGAGGATTCTAGAAACGAAACCTCTTTTTTTCTCATCGATTTTATTCCGCCATTTTTATTTAAAAACAAAATAAAATGATGAGTCATTTATGTGATATTAAATGTAATCATTAGTTTTTATCAATGTATTAAATATTCAAATTGATTTTAATACTGAATATTTGATTCTGTATAAATAATTATGTATAATTATCAACGTTGTACGTTTAGTTAAGATCATTTTGATTAGATTGTTTTTAATGTACGAAATTATTTTATCAAGTGTTACAACGAACGACTTTTTAGTTTTGAAATGATTCAATTCTAGCTAGTGTTACTTAGCGAACAGTTATTAATAACTCTATGAACTATTTAAGTATGTTTAAGTTAATTTATGGTTGACACATCTTTTCTTATAACTTTCTATTAAATTATTTCACTGATTTCGTAATTCTATCTAAAAGTACAAAAATTTAATACTTCAACGATTGCACTTTTTGTTTTATTATTAGAAATTTGAAATAAAACAAAATTATTTGATTTAAATTGAATAATTAAAATATCAGTCAAAACGTATTTTATATTAATGTATTATTAAAAACAAAAAAAGTAAATAAATAATTATATTATATTTGCGAGAAATACCTTTGACTTTTTGAATTAAAATTTGTAAATAAAAAAATATTTTATATTATCTAGCAAAATTGTTTAAACATTTGAGTATAAATTTGGTATTCTCGTAGAAATAATTGTTTTAGTTTTAAGACGAAAGTTTTCGTGACCGTGACGGTCGACATTTCGTGCAGACATTTTACACATATACACATTTACAGACACACACGCAAATATTTCGGAACAATTCTAAATTACTATGAACTTGTTTCAAATGGATAATAATCTTTTCCTTTTATCAAAACGCGTTTCTAGTAAACGATTTACAGATTGCGAAATTGATCGTGGAACTTTAATTGAACCTTAACGATTTAACCCAATGAAAAAAAAGATTGCACATCAATGACTCACTGTATATTTTATTTTTTTATAATAATGTGAAAGATAAATGACACAGAAGAATGTAGAGAAGGTTGATTATGGCACGTTTAAAATTAGTGTTTGT